ATCATCTCTGAAAGCATTTTATTGGGTGTGTGCCTTGTATTTTATTGTTAGCTACACAAAGTGCTGAGATTCTGCTTTGAAAGCTGCACATTCCAAATCATTCATCAACCAAAAACTGCCAGAAAAAAACAGAGAAATTACTAAACAAAAAAAAAACCAACATAGCAAAGGTTTTGAAGGCTCTGAATCCATGTCAGATGCTGCCGGAGATGCTCAGATGATAAATATTCTTAAATGGAGAAGTGCGTCCGGCCCAGTGGGTCAGCGTGAGTACACACAGCCGGTGATTGTGGATCAGGATGATGAAGCTTGGAGGTGGTTTGACATGAAAAATCACAGTCATCACCACAGTGAGTGGAGAGAAGCTGTTTTTAAATGTCAGCTCTGTCTGCTGGAGAGCTGATGGTCCAAATGATACGTTACTGTCAGTGAAAGGAAGTAAAGCCAGAATTCTCCTCCATTTCTATGCTGTAGAAATAATCACATTAAACACACTGCACTGATTCTGCTGCGGGGAAACTTTAGAAAGTACGTTTTGAGTAAACTGGCAAGGCTCATATGAGAATTAGGGAACAAAAACCAGATTTAGTGTTTAGACTGTGACACCTGGATTGATGTAAAACTGATCTGGTTGCATTTGTTTTTCATCCTAAAATGTCTTGTGTTTATCTGCTGTACTGGTGAAGTTCTGAGGCTCAGAAATGATGGAAAAAGTTCTTTAAAGTGATAAATGTGGACCCTCCTTTATGGACTTCAAGGACCTGGAAGTCTGAAACTATTCGTAGTATGAAGGTAGAACTCTGGAGGGTTTTATTTATTATACTATTAAAAACAAAATACTAGTGCAGCTTTAAACTGTTGAGATTTTTCCACCAAAACCACACAAGGTTATGTTTTTGTGCTGCACTAAAAATATGTTTGGTAATATTTCAATTTCTGCTGTTTTATTTGCTTGGAGGCAGTCAAATATCTGCTCATTAACTACTTCACATGTTATTTGTCATCCGGTCGTGTTCTTCTGCTGACAGTTCAAGTGCTTTTAAATCAGTTTTTATTTGTGGGAATCAAGATTTGTCATGTGATTTAAAGGTCTGTAGGTGTGTTGGTAGTTCCCTGGATTTCCCTCACAGGTATGACTCTGATGGTCAGGCTGCGCCATCTAGTGGCTACATCTGGAATATGTGAGGTGAACAAAAGCTTACAGTGAAGGATGGTTACTGTGCTGATCCTTTGCAGGGAATTAGTTTGTAGCCTAGTGAGGATTAAACGGTGTATAGATGATGGATGGATGGATGTTTGGTCTACGACTGCTCTGATGTGATGCCGTGCACGATCAGTACATTGAACTTCTCTTCGTCTGACAGTCTCTTCTTCTTTTGTTTCCTCAGTGGAGAAAGTGGAGCCGGTAAAACTGAAAGCACCAAACTGATCCTGAAGTTCCTGTCGGCCATGAGCCAGCACTCGCTGGAGGCTTCGTCCAGAGACAAGACGTCTCACGTGGAGGAGGCTCTTCTGGAGAGCAGGTAAATATCTGTTTCATGAAAGGTTAAATCTGTTTGTTCGCCTGCTTAATCTTGTCCTTCCACCACAGTCCCATCATGGAGGCCTTCGGAAACGCCAAGACCGTCTACAACAACAACTCCAGCCGCTTTGGGAAGTTTGTCCAGCTGCACTTCAGCCAGAAGGGAAACATCCAGGGAGGCAGAATTGTTGACTGTATCCTTTAAACCCTCTCAGTGTGAAATTGTTCCTTCACTGTGCATTAATGCGCAGCCTTAATATTCAGGAAATGGTTGGAAAAGCTGCTTTCAAGATAAAAGAAGTGCAGAATATCACAAGATTTATTTAGAGCATCGAGATCACAGAGCACAGGACAGACATCATGTCAATGAGTAACAATTATCGCATTCATTTATGAGTAAATTCAGTTTTTTCCAACCTTTACTCTCTAAAACAAATCTTTTTTTTTCTATCCGTGACCTGATCTTCATGTCTTTCAGCAGGTTAGTGAACTAGCTTGTTTAGCTCGAGCCTCATTTAGACAAACTAGCAGCCAAACTCATGCAGTGTGGCGACCATCATCTATTCTCTGGCTTCATAGTCTTTGCTTGAGATGTTTTCTACACTGTAAGAGGAGAACAAAAAAGTAAAAAATGTTAATATCCCAGCTGCAGCGGCACCAAAACAGTCCTGTAATTAATGAAAAATAACATGAAAAACAGAATTTCTCCGTAATTGAAATACATTTTCGAGCCTTAACTTTACTTGAAATCGTGTATATTTCGGTATTTTATTGTTCATGAAGGATTCTTATGTGTGTAAAAACAATTAAATTACCTATAATATATTTATTTTATCCATAAATAATTACAAATGCTTGTACAGTCGATGTAAACTGACAAAAACACGTTTATTTTACTTTTTTGTTATGAAAACTGTGATTATACAAAATATTTCTCATGATCAAACCAATCTATGAAAAACTAAATGAACAGTGCTTTTTTTTTCTTAGTTGTCACCAAGTCTGTCTAATTGTAGAAACACATTTACAGCGTAGCAACAATTTACTTTAATAAATAAAAAATAAAATAGTTTTTAAATTTGTATTTTAAAGCATTTTTATGTGGAAAAAAAATCCAATCCAATTTCTTAGTCTATTTTTATTTTTTTCAGATTTTTAGATATTTCAAAAATAATGGAAAACATAATGTTGAATGTTCATGAAGTTTCCAGGTCAACACATGCAAACGTGAGTGTTTCATTCCTTGACTGACACTTTTCTGACCACAGACCTCTTAGAAAAGGTGAGCGTCCGTCCTCCTACCAAACCTGTAAACTTCCAATCCTGTCAAACTTGTCTTTGTGTATAAAAAGTGTTCCAAACATGTTGATGAACTGATTCTTCTTCTGCAGAACCGAGTCGTCCGGCAGAACCCCGGGGAGAGAAACTACCACATCTTCTACGCCATTTTAGCAGGAACCAACAACCAGCAGAGAGGTGAATGAACACAAAATATCATGTAACATGCAAACCATAAACCTGAACATAACACCTGACTTTACTTTTTGCATCACAGCCTGCAAAGTCCAAAGATTTTATTCCAACAAGCGTTTAGCCCTAAACTCTGAGCAGCTTCTGGTAGTTTTTTTGTTCTCAAGTTTTTCTTCACTGTGGCT